CCCTCCTGATGACTGATCGGCTCCACCTGTGGCTCCTGTGGATTTAAACGCCCCGCCCGCTCCCCCCCAGTTTGATCTCTCATTACTCGTGTCCTTGTTGAGCCGTGAGCCATGAGTTCGACCTCCTCTGTCTGAGTGCAGGAATTTAAAAAAAAGTTCCAAGACAAAACGATTCAAAAGTGCGTTTCTCTAAACCGTCATTCGTGGTTTTTGTCAGGTGTTGAGCTGCGTCAAATTTTTTTTTTTTTTTTTCTCGATACATTTCTACAGAACCTTGAATTCAGTCTAAGGAACGCTCTGAGACCTGGTGTCAAAGACGTCCTCCAGACTAGGACGGATAAAGGAACTGTCTGGAGAAAATTCAGAAACATTTAGACTGAAAACTAAACTTAAAAAAATTCTCTAAATGTTTACCTCGAGTCTGAAGAAACATCGAGGAGAAAGAAATGTTTTATTTTTGCGTTGGAGGACGTTTTTTTAAAAACATTGTTAGCATCAGACGTTATTAGCTTGGCAGCGGAAAATTATTCAATCCAACTTTATTGGTCCGAAAACTTTTATCTATTAAATAATTTTCTTTGTTTATCATGTGAGAGGAAGAACAATTAAATTATCTTCCACTAGGCGGCAGCAGATGGCTATAAAAGTAAAACAACAAAAAGAATCAGAGCAGAGTTGAAGAAGATCTTTGTGAGTGTCTTTCTTCAATTCCTGCACAGTACATCAGTGTCGTCTTTAACTAAACAGGTCGAGCTTTTAGTAAATTGTGAGTAAATACAAACTAGAAGATTATTATATTTATTTACAAATACTTTTTGTTTCACTGTAAAAACAAAATCAGTTCAAGACGTTTCTTCTCTGACTGTTAAAAACCCGACGGTTGTCGCTGCATGTGACGTAGGAGGAGGAGGTGGAGGAGGAGGAGGAGGAGGAGGCCTGACGGAGCCTCCACCTCCTGCACGGCCTCAGTCTCCGCCTCCATCAGCCTCAACACAATCAGGGCTTTGACCCAGCGACAGCAGCAGGAGGCGCTCTGAATGGAAATGAACTGGCGACCGACGTGGCAGCGAGCCTGAACCACTGAACGACTACGTTTGTGTTTCAGGATCGGACACAAAGTCTGCACGGTGTCTGGACAATGAGGCTTTTTGACTGGATTTAGATTGAATTCTTTCTCGATTTAATTCATGATAATAATTGAGGTCCTGATTCGCCCCACAAGAACAAAAAGGTTTGCGACCCACAGACGACGCAGTCAGGTTATGTTTCCATTAATAGTTTAGTTGTTTTTTTTTAATCTGCTCTTCCTCCTCCCCCTGTAATCAGCCTCACCCTGTGTCCCCCCTCCCTCCTGATGACTGATCGGCTCCACCTGTGGCTCCTGTGGATTTAAACGCCTCGCTCGCTCGCCTCCAGTTTGATCTCTCATTACTCGTGTCCTTGTTGAGCCGTGAGTTCGACCTCCTCTGTCTGAGAGCAGGAATTTAAAAAAAAGTTCCAAGACAAAACGATTCAAAAGTGCGTTTCTCTAAACCGTCATTCGTGGTTTTTGTCAGGTGTTGAGCTGCGTCAAATTTTCTTTTTTTTTTTTCCTCGATACATTTCTACAGAACCTTGAATTCAGTCTAAGGAACGCTCTGAGACCTGGTGTCAAAGACGTCCTCCAGACTAGGACGGATAAAGGAACTGTCTGGAGAAAATTCAGAAACATTTAGACTGAAAACTAAACTTAAAAAAATTCTCTAAATGTTTACCTCGAGTCTGAAGAAACATCGAGGAGAAAGAAATGTTTTATTTTTGCGTTGGAGGACGTTTTTTTAAAAACATTGTTAGCATCAGACGTTATTAGCTTGGCAGCGGAAAATTATTCAATCCAACTTTATTGGTCCGAAAACTTTTATCTATTAAATAATTTTCTTTGTTTATCATGTGAGAGGAAGAACAATTAAATTATCTTCCACTAGGCGGCAGCAGATGGCTATAAAAGTAAAACAACAAAAAGAATCAGAGCAGAGTTGAAGAAGATCTTTGTGAGTGTCTTTCTTCAATTCCTGCAAAGTACATCAGTGTCGTCTTTAACTAAACAGGTCGAGCTTTTAGTAAATTGTGAGTAAATACAAACTAGAAGATTATTATATTTATTTACAAATACTTTTTGTTTCACTGTAAAAACAAAATCAGTTCAAGACGTTTCTTCTCTGACTGTTAAAAACCCGACGGTTGTCGCTCCATGTGACGTAGGAGGAGGAGGAGGAGGAGGAGGAGGAGGAGGAGGCCTGACGGAGCCTCCACCTCCTGCACGGCCTCCGGCTCCG